CATAGACTTCTATACAACCAGAGGAGTCGCCCCCTGGTGGACAGTGGAGAGAATGCAGCTTTAAAACCGGAGGTTGCTGCCTGCCTTCAAAGTAAAAGTCTCTCTCTAGAGTGTTTGGTTTTGTCCGTCCTGTGCTACTGTAGAAACATGGCGGACTCTCTGTACAGAAGTTAAGATGATTAAGATGAGATCATTCAGCATGTTCACTGTGTTCTCAGTCTTAACAAGCAAAGTAAAGACGTTAAGTTAAGTTATTTCGTCAACAGTTTAACTAACGTCAAAGGTTAAAGACCAAGAAAAGGAGAAAACCTTTAATAATTAATTGGATATTTTAACGGACTTAAAGGAAAACCTTAACTTTGTGCAGCCAGAACTTTCTTCCTTTTCCCAAAACTTTTCTTTAAATTAAAGATATGATTAGTATGAATATAAATGGAGCTAAAACAATGCATGATGGGATAAACTTTGTTGTTTGAGTGTAGAAACATACACTCCAGGTCGGGCTCCTTGCCCAGCAGGTAGCGGATGGCGGCCTGAAGCTGAGAATATTTCCGGTGGCTCGGGTCGATGTCGGTCTCGCAGTACGTCCTGAAGGAGAAGAGGTTTTAGTAAACCAGGACCTGTTAACGTGATGTCAGTTCATTTAAACACAAAGTATATGTGAAAACATGTGGAGAAATGATAGATTTGTTCTCCTCTTCTTTCATTCTATTACTTCCACACTCAGCTTGTAATTTACGGAACGATTAAACTTGTTGGTCTGTGTGTTCAGCACATGTGAACTAAATGAAGGATCCGCTCATGGGTCAGACGTACCACTCGGTAGCGATGCTGAGGTCGGGGGAGGTGAGGTCGTGTAAACCTGCAGAAGAAGAAACAAATCACATGAAAACAAACTCACTTACTTGCTGTCGCTTCGGTTTAAGAAGGAAATGTTGAATATGGAATCATAGGAATAACATAAAAGAAACGTATAAAAATAAATAAATGACATGTTATAAAATAAATATATTTTTTAAATATATACAGAAAATAATAGAGTAACTTATATATAAAAAATGAATCAATATATAATTCTTAAAATATAAAAATAATTATATACAGATATAAATGAACAAATAAATGTGACAATAAATGCTTATAATTATTCTTCTACATGTTGTAATTCGTCTTTGTATTTTTAATTTGTTTTATTTCTCTTTCTATTAACAAATACATGTTCTATTCTTACTCATGTATTATTATTCATGACTCTCCTATGACTCCATAGTGAACAGTAAATGTGTATGAGATTGTATTTTTATTCTCATGAATAAAGTTCAGCAGCCATCAAACATTTAAAAAGGTCTGTGCAGCAATGCATTGTGGGAACTCCTACCTTCCTCCACAGACACGTTTCCAATAAACATGAGGCGTCCGTGACCTTTAGTCAGCACCATGCCGAAGCTGCAGAGACACGAAGAAGACACGAAGATGAGACGGCGAAGAAGAGACGGAGAGACACGAAGAAGAAGAGACGGAGAAGAAGAGACTTTTATTCGAATCAGGTGTGGCGTGCTGCCCTCTGGTGGTCAGATCACACAGATACAACTGAATGTATCTCCAGTGAGAAGAAAAACAGTTCAGTGTCCGGATTCATCAGGTTGATTTTTGAGTTACAATAAATATCTCACACAGCAACAACAACAGACTATTTCATTAGAATGAGTGCGTTAGTGAATGAATGGAGTCTGGTGTGTTAGAAGAGATCAGAGAGAACAGCTTCAGGTCTGACAGCAACGTAAAGAGGTGAAAACATCCTAAATAAAACGTAAAGTTAAACTGATAGTGATTCTTTTACATTTATCACAGAACATATTTACAGCCCAGTTTATTATTCCTCATATTTAATACATTGATAAACACTCAGAAGCCGGCCTTAAAGTTACCAAAGGTTGAGGTCCCGTAATAACGAACTCTCTAACAGGAACTTGAACTAACCAGCAGAAGGTCATGACCTCTGAAGCAGACGTTACCTGAACGGAGTCTCGTCGATGTTGGTGAAGAAGTAGTCGTTGACGAGGAACAGAGGTCGTTTCTAATGAAGGAGAACGAAATAATGTAAGAACATAAATTATATATTTTTTCCATGAGTATTAATTATATATATATATATATATATATATATATCATTAATACTCATGGTGAAGTCAGGATGCTAACATTAGCCTCTGTTAGCTCCTTCAGTGATACTTGTGACAGATGAACTGTGTTTATTTTCAGCTAATTGTTCCCATTTAAATCAAGATTCCTCCGCCTCCTCCTCCGCCTCCTCCTCCTCCTGCAGCAACATTGCTGAAGCATTACTAACACCCGCTGAGACGAAGAGAAACTACACGAATGTCCTGATCCCGTCACATACGTATATAGTCTACTTTATGCAGTATTTGTATACCACTAAGTACATTTACTCAAGTACTGAATCTGAGGTACTTGTACTATACATGTTATACTACTTTATACATGTACTCCTCTACATCTTAGAGGAACATGTTGTACTTGTTAACAGCACTAAATGTATCTGATGGCTTTAGTTAATCTGATTACACTAAAACAATACAAATAGTGAGTTTAGTCTGAATGCTGATATTCTGACTACATTTCACACTTTAAACTCACTTTAATGAGGATTAGTAAGCTGTGTTTCCACTCTTCATCTCATTAAATAAAGCTCTGTTTCTATTGGTTCTAACGTGTTGTCAAAAAAGAGAGTTGAGATCCCAGGAAAGCTGCCTTCTTAAATGAAGGAATACAGTTCGATATGAAAGTAGGCTAAAGGGACACAAAGCATATAATTAGTAAAGGATGAAATCTAATAATCATTTTAAAGCAAGTGTGTATAACATAAGAATTATGAAGTGATTTAACAAATGTAAAACTGATAATAATAATGTATGTGTAACTGAGTAAAGTGAAGTCTGTGTGTGTGTGGAAAGAGCTGATGTAAGCAGGGTGGGGGCCTTAAAGGCTGAGATCATAACAGATGTTGGGGTGGTGTCCGAGCACATACACGGGTGTAACCTGACGCACGCTCGAACATTGAGGAAGTGAGAACATCCACGGAGGGAAGTTAGGTGATTTCCAGAACACACACACACACAGAAAGTTGGGTGTTGTTCGCAGCACACACACATATTCAATGATGTCATGTTAATCACATGCCAAGTGAGGGAGTGTTGGGGAGGAGGGGGGAGAGAGAGCTCAAAGGTTATAAAAAGAGAGACTTGCAGATAGCAAGACGGGATTCAACGCGGGAGCCACCCAAGTGCTCCACGGAGGAAACACTGGACCTCGACAGCATCGGAGAACTTTGTCTCTGTTCACGGAAAGAAGACAGCCGTTCCTGGACAAAGATTGAAAGACGGAGATTTTCCTCTCCCCCCTGTTTGACTTTAACAACCGGACAACAGATGGACGCAGCCGCCCTAAAGACTTTGTACTGAGCCTGAGGGATCGCTGAACGGACTTCGTTGGCTGCGCAGGAGGAGCGAAGGTCAGGCCTGGCCTTCGCTCCTAAAAACCCCAAAAGGACTTTTTATCACATCTTGAATCCAGCTCCACCGAGCCGCCTCGGCATCGAAACTAATGAGTATAATCTAAGAAGAAATTGTAACCTGATCGAATCAAGTATAGTATTATATTATGAAGAGCTGTAGCTGTGCCCCTGCTAATATCCTGCAATAAATATCTAATCTGCATTTAAAGTAAATTTCTCAAGAGAATTCATTTGCCTAAGTAGTAGAAGTTCCTCGTGGCAGTAAAAGGTTAAATCTATTGTATGTTAACAACAAGAGTTCTGAATGGTTATCCTAGTGACCAGTCCACTTAACAGTCCCTTACGGTTTTAGTTATAATCCTAGCCGTTAAAACCTAACCTGGCAATTTACCAAGAGCCCGGATCCAATAGAGGAAAGCTGCCATAACTGACGCGACTAGGTAGAAGCGCCAGGCCAGGGTGGCCCCTCGGCCGAGTGCACGTTACCGGAGGAAGCAGGGTAGACGTCAGGAGTAACGGTAGTTAGCAGAAGCCAGGCGAGTTTCCTCGACAGAACACCAGCTCGCCAATCTTTTAATAGAGAGCTGAGTCAGTAGGTAGCCCCGTAACGGGCCAGAGAACCCCCGGATCTAACAGTGTCTATCCGTGGGTTTGATATCGGGATCGTGTGATTGCTTCCTCACCTTCTTGTCCACGGAGGCTCTGATGCTTTGCTGGATGTTTCCGGTCTCTCCTCTCACCATCGAGGTTCTGAGCTGGAGAGCAGACGAGACAACAGCTTCAAATAAGAAGTCGGAACCGGTTCCTCCTCTGACTCAGGGTCCAGATCTCAAACTGACTTTTCTTTATTTAACAGAAATATGCTCAAAGTTTGTGTTTATTTACGCTTCAGCTCTATTCTTACAACAACACGTGCGTTAACTGGACGTTACTTTACAATAAGTTATTACATGTTTGAGTGTTTTATCATTTTAAAGAGACACTACAGGGGAATGGGCTGAGAACTAAATGTTATAACAAATGCAGATGAGTCATTATCTTTTTAAATATGTGGTCATTTTCATACATTTCCAGAACAGAAATGTGAACGTTGGATAAAAGCAGGTTGTTGACATATGAGAGTCAAAGGTTTCTACATTTTAGATATCACTCTGTATCACTACATGAATCAGAGAATACTGTCAACAATACAAAATGAAACAAATCTTTTTATTGATACATTTTGTCTAAATGAGTCTGTGAATGATGTGCGTCCATTAAAGAGACGTTTAGTGACATTACAGACATTTAGAGACTCTACAGGTGAATACATGAACTCATGATATCACCATGAAACTT